CCCGCCACTCTCGCTCCACTTCTCATCCCTTCCCTACGATCCCATTTTCCTCCCTCTTCTTCTCTCTATTTGTCTGTGTACTTGCATCTCGCCTTCTTCCCGATCCTCCACTTCCTCTGCCTATGCCTCTCCCTCTCCCTCCCTTTTCTCCGCTCTGCTTCCCTTCCAGCATCACAATTACTTGAGTTCTTTGTTGCTCCTATCTCGACTTCGTGATTTTCATGACACATGTGGTATAGCGATTTCCGCCACACCATCTGGAACAGAGGAGGGGTCAAATAACAAAACTCAGAAATTTCACAAGGGTGTTGCCAAAGGTCCCTGCTTGTTACCACATCCAGAGATCCGCATTCTGGAACAGAGGAGGGTCGCGTAAAGGTACCAACCTTTTCTGCAGACCATAGATTCGGATTAACAACAACGGCTGAGATCAAACACTTTGCAGTGCACCCAATTGGATCCCTTCCGACTGGAACCATCATTGTTCTGACAACTTCTTCTGGTTTCTTCCAATCTGACATTATGTTCCCATCCAACCGCTCCCAATCTGAATAGAGGACACACTCAACCGTGCACTGTAGTAGACCTCCTCTCATAACAATATCACGTGGTGCTTCCACGACGACTGAAACCTGCTCGCATGAAGAATGAACACAATCCAGGCTCAGAGAGACAACCTATACAAACCCAGTCAGGCAGTAACGAGGGCAGGCATGAAGACAGGCAAGCAGACAGAGATTTAGGCCTCGCAAATACAGAAGTGATCTCAACTGACATTCAAACAAGTCAGCAGTCTGCAACAACCCCCACACCAAGTGATGGCAGGCAGACAGAGAGACAGACAGAAAGAGACAGGCAGGAAGGAAGCCAGAGGGTAGGCAGGTGGACACACAAAAACGGAGACAAGCTGACACGTATACAGACAGCTACCCAGGCATCCAAACAGACAGACAGACAGACAGACTGACTGACAGACTGACTGACTGACAGACAGACAGACAGAGGCTGGCAGACTGATGTGCGTATCAATGGGCAGACAGATGGATGGACGGACAGGCATATGGAGATGCAACGATGCACAGAACAATGGACAGCCACGGTCAAATGGGCAAGGTAGGTGGGCAAGGCAGGTGGGCAAGGCAGGGAGGCAGACAAAGACAGAGAGACCGGATCCGTCCAGATAGCACTGGGGAGAAAACAAAAAGAAAGTTTGATTTTCTTTGTAGCTGTCTTTTTGTTTCCCTTCCTTTTCATGATCAAGCTTCGAAGTTTGCTTTTATACCGTCGATAGTTCCACATGAAAAACCAATCAAAAGGTAACGTACATGGCCAATAGAACTACAAGCTAAAGCCTAAAAGTTTTTCGACTTTGTTTTGAGCCAATGCAGCTAATGCTCCTAATATCATGGAAGCAATAGTGCGAAAAAAGAAAGCTGTGACATAAATAAGAGAACCCTCGTATAGGCTACAGGCATGAAAAAAAAAAAAAGAGAACCCTCATATACATGGGCATGGATCATAGTTGCGGCGCATTGAGGTGCGCGCCTCAACGCACGTCTGGCGAACCTTGCGCACCGCACCG